TGTTGGCTGGCTGAACGACAATTAGCTTATCCACAGGGTTAGATAACCGCTGCTGCTCGTTTCTCGTGCAGTGCTGTACTCGCAAACCTCAGCAGCTTATCCTGCTCGCTTTTTGTTGGTCCGGGAGCCATTACACACGATTACAGGAGCCATCATCAAGTTGCCTTGTTAACCACACGCAGGGCGCAGAGACTAGTTCGCAAGTTCAGAATTAGCCTATACAGTCTTGCTGTTGCTTAGCAACCAATAAGAGAACCAACTGTACAGTGATCTTTCAACGCAATTTCTGTCATCATGTCTGCCCACGCAGAGGGCTGGTACCTTTATTATTAAAGCTGATACGAAATAAATGCTATTATAAGCCACTCTAACTGTGTACGTCTTCGCAATCACCACCCTAATTTAGGCAGAATTTCGTTCTCGGGATCAATTTATGAACTTTCTTCAATTATTTTCGTAATTAACGGGCGTTAATTCTCACGATTATCGATTATTTATTGTTGACAGAGCCATCTATCCGTCGGAATTACGTACTACCGCTTCGTATCAGCACAATCTCGGAGTAATCTCAGATGAAATTACATTTTTATTTTACAGAGAGACGAGCGAATTTACATTGTTGGCAGTAACAATGACAGCCTTTCATTTAAAATCGAAAATAGTATATTATATTTTACTGTGCACTCGCCACTGACAGTCAAAAACTAACAGCGCAATTAGGTTAATATATCGCCCCATTGCCGATGTCTGCAGAGCTGCAGTCGTCTGTTTCAAAACAAGCTGTAATAAGCTATTCTTCAGTTCCGGTTCCGGCAGGCCATCCAACCCTTCATAAAAAGCCGGAATTAGCTACTTAAGCCGCCAGCACTCCGTAAAACAATCTTTAAAACCGGCTGTTGATTGTGTTTTGTCTGGACGAAAATGGCGGTGGTTCCACACGGGCGAGACATCTGGCGAAGAACGCCGACAACCCGAATGACTACTGACCTTGTGTCCTGGGATCGAATACAGTGACAATTCTTCAAGTATTCCTGCGTATTTTAAACCAGTGGTATTCAACCTGGGGTACGCGTACCCCCGGGGGTACGCAAAGACATCTTAGGGGGTACGTGAAATTTTAAAAAAAAAAAATTATTTTATGATAAACACTGAATAATCAGTAATGTAATTTTTTTAATTTATTTTAGATGTAGATTATATACTACATATAACTTGAATTATACACCAACAACTTTGGGGGTACAAAGATGAAGAGAAATTATATCTGGGGGTACGCGAACCAAAAAAGGTTGAATACCACTGTTTTAGACTACTGAATTAATGGAAGTTCTCCTTAGTTCAACAACATTTTATGTACCGCCTGTTCTAATATCCAAACTCCGGTCCTCGTTTTTTCAAAAGACATCCTCAGAAAAAGCTGGTCTCATTCGTTCCTCACGTTCGGGGAAAGATAATTTCGTCACCTGAGACATTTCTGTTATAATAATTACACACGCGAACACCTCAAGAGGGAGATACAGCTCGCATGGGGGAGTCGAAAGTTTCATAACAATTTTGGTCGTAAAACTGAGTTTCACAGACATGGTGATCTTCACATCTTTAAGCTTTTACAACGTGAGTTATGAAGTACCCTAACTCATTAATATCCGTTAATTACTCGCGAAGTTCTATTATAGCACGTAAAAACAATTTTATTTATAACACAAACAAAGAAGTATATCAGATCTAAAACTTCTTGACGATGGTGAAGAGTCAATTGAATAAAAATTTTCTTGGATATTATCCATCGTCTAGTAAAATATAAAACGTAAAACGACGTTTCGGAGATGGGACAACCTGAAGACGGAGATAGAGTCCCATCTCCGAAACGTCGTTTTACGTTTTATATTTACTAGACGATGGATAATATCCAAGAAATTTTTTATTCAATTAAACAAAGAAGTGTTCAAAAACTTAAAATCTTCACACGTTTTGTTAAAATGCTGGACATTATCCATCGTGTTGTTTCTCATAACAAGACGTTTCGGGAACTGGATCTGATGGAGACTAGCTCCTTCCAAGGGACCCCTCAGAGTATGAACCCCCTTGTTATTCGTATTTTACCTTTTGATGGAGTACCCGAAACGTCTTGTTATGAGAAACAACCGACGATGGATAACGCTCAGAATTTTAACCACAACTGTAACAATTCCCCATGGTCAATATCCTTTAGAATTATTTTAAAATCGTTGCTTATCATTACTTAATTGAAGAGTGAAGGCAAAGTACGATTTAATTTAATACAAATTTTGATTTTAAAAACGATCAGCAGTCAATCAATCAACGAAGACTTTTCTATATTCCAGTCTCAGTAATCTCTTGATCTGTTAGTTCTAACACACATGATCCATTCGGACTTCTTCATACATATTCATTCGGCGCAACAAAATTTCCCGTAACAAGTGAACTATAGCCAGTGCGGACGGCAGCCACATTAGTGACGTAATAATGCTCTTACCTATATCGACCTCAAGGCGTTGCATTCTCCTTTTCAGCGACTCGCTATCGAGAAAGTTACCATAGAAACGGCATCGTAGAGGGGGAGATAGGCGGAGCTTACATTCATCTGCTCGTCTGGACCAGTATCGTAAAAAGGGTTGCCTTCGCATGCAGGAGTAGTATAAGGAACGCGTATTTTTAATCAGGAAAATTAGTATTCAACGATGCGAGAAACTCTAATCCTACGTAGGGCCTGCAAATTTTTAGGACACTTAGCGATGACGAGTCACACAAATTGTTGGGCCGAGCGTAAAAGAAAAAGTTATATACATCGCTTATTGAAATTGTAGAAAAGTAATCTATAAATTGTCATTCATTCATTCATTTGTCCAGCAAATCAATGAACTCTGACATGACTAAGACCCGATATGATAAGGCTGAAAGAATTCTTTTGGCTATAGATCGAGATTCTGACAAAATACTTGTCCCATGATTTCAATTTATTGTTAAATATGTACAAAGAAAACAGCAGGAAAATCCATTGCAGAAAATCTGTGAGAAGAATTTTGGTATGGGATCGGGAAACAAAAGAGACCTGGCCTAACTTAAGAATTTATACTTTCAGCATTTGAACGACTTTAATAACAGTTGAAGGTTCTCAGGAGTCACAATCAATAGTCCAGAATTTTCAGGAAATCGAGAAGTATCCAGTTATGAAAATTACTTGTCTTTGTTTCCTAAACAAAAGAACAAACCGGTTCCATAATCCCTCCATTCAGCGTCTCGTGAGTGATTGTGTTCTTAAATTGTTTGGTCAACAGACTAATGTCCCCTGTCATCTGCTTTGTTAACCTGCCATTGTGAATCTGAGACAAATCCTATTAATTGCCTTCCCCATTAAATTAATTATCCTAATACCTGCGGCGGGTGGGGATTAGGTAGGACAGAGCTCTGTGGTGAACCTTGATGTGATTTCAGGTTGTTCTAACCTGAAATCACATCAAGCTGATTGTGATCGTCTGGGACATGACGCCGAGGACTTGTAGGAGTTTATAAATGTTTCCCAGGCATTTGCTCCTTCCGTATTCAAGTTTAAAAGAAGTTTTGATCTAAAGTAGGGCCTTAAACTTGTCGACATTATTTATATTTAAATAAGGTTAACGAAGACAGCAGACACACGAAGTTTAAGACTGAAATTGACAAAGTAAACTTCAGAAATTAAAAAAAAAAGCATAACATTTTAAAAACATTAGATTAATCGATACAAAGCCTTTCAAGTCGATTTATAACACCATTAAAGTCTTGTGTGGTCTTGTATATCTGCATTGTTTTTCTCACAAAGAGACAGACAGACATATTTAGAATTTATACGACAAGAAATATTTAAAGCCTTCAGCCCAAGTAATAACATTATCGTTCTGGTTTCCAATTCGTCACACACATAATATTTAATAACCGTTTCAGACAGTCGTCCGAAAACTGTTATTACGCGGTATTGCGGATTTCTGAAGTCAATGTTGTTCCTTTTTGTAAATGACGTAAGCCTACAACATAAACAAATCGAAAATGAAACTGGCGGAGTTGTATGATGGATCTGTAACTGAAATCATCGTCGTACTTAGTTAAGTACCAGCAATGGCGATTAACTCCGTGCTGGTTCGACTACTTATCAACGTATATTCGCTTATTTTGTTTCCATAAGCAAATATTACAGTGTCACGGTGGTCTAGCGGTCAGAACACTAGCCTTATAAGCCTGGGGTCCCGGGTTCAACTCCCGGTGGTGCCCGAATTTATAACTTGTGTTGGGCAAGGCCGTGGTCTAGGCATCACGGAGTTTTCCTCCGGGGGCTTCCCCGGTTTCTCCGTGGCATCCCAACAATTACTCCACTCACACACAGAAGAAGGCAATGGCAAACCACTTCTGGATCATCTGCCAAGAACGTATATGAACAGGTCCCAGTCCGAGAAAAGGATGGAAGGATCCTGTTCATATGGACCTGTCGTCAGACAGAACACTACAAATAAAAAAAAAAAGCAAATATTCTAACTCCGGGTTAACAAGCTTTTACATTGACGACATTTCAGGTACACAAGGCGACGAGTGTGAAGATTATTTCTGTTGAGGGATGTTATGGTACGAAGTCTGGTATAAATTCACCGAGTTTTTAAATACGCTACGCGTCGGGGTATCTGTTAGATTCTCAGGATAAAGTCCAACTGTTATGAACTGTCAGGATCCGTGAGATGCAAGGCATTTCTTGAGCTGTAGGAAGCCATCAGCTTCTCAATAAGCACTAGGCCTGTTACTATAAATAGCTCGGCTAGCTGTAAGCCGCTGTTTCCCTCAGAGGGGTCTCGCTCCTCCCCGTTGTAACCCTGGCAACCAGTTAGGGCAGGCCCAGAGTCGCGACCAATGAGCGGTCGTGACACGTGACTAGGGGGACTTGGGGCTTGATGGGCCCCAGCGGTGATGATAGCTCATCGCTCACGTGAGGAACGTCAGTCAACAATTAGCAGGACGTCACTACAGGAGCCTTCTCGACTTCTCCATGTGGTCACTGAACAATATCGTGTTCTGTTCCTCTGTTTCAAGAAACAGTTGAAAAGCGAAGATTTTTCGTGGAGAATTGTCTTCGCATAAATTTGTTAGCGGAAGATACATCGAAAATTCGTCTCTGTTTCATTCTGAAACTGACATTTTTTAACGTGGGTGTTCGATTGTTCTCGGTCCGAGACCGTTCGTCTGACTTTGGAACGCTGTCGGACGGAAGATGCAGGAATCATTTCGAGTTCTGCAACAATCCGGCGGAGCGCTGGACCATCGCCAGAACGCGACGTCGCACGCAGCTGAAGACTTCAGCATTTCCGGCAGTAAGAGTCATCACCATCACCACAAGACGACAACGGCCACCGTGGTGGTTGACCTGTTGCCACCGGCGTACACATCAGTTCTCGGGCACTCGCACCTCCAGGGGCCCCCATCGTCACCCCAGAAGGGAAAAGTCGACACTTTGATAGGTGAGTTCCTACACACCTCTTTGTTAAGTTAATACATTGCTGGATTCTAAGCGGAGGGATTTTGGAAATGTCGCATAATATTTTCAAATTGTTCCGGCTTATTATCTCGTCGTCTGCATGAAGAAACTGAGGAAAATCACGAAAGTACTCAAGAGGGCATGATATTTTAGGTTCTCATGGCAGTGAGTATGAAGATGGTTTTTTTATGGGATGTAATCTGGGAGGAAGTGACCTCTGAAACGTCGTAAAATTTCTACGAGATAAAGCGTAACTTCTCAAGAAGAAATTCATCTTCACGCTATCAGATTACGGCAGGAGATTCGGAAAGTTACACATCGCTCAGCCGCGAAGTTCGATTCAGCTTATGGTAATAAAGTTATATTAAACAGTCTTGCAATGTTTGCAAGTAGATAGAAAATTCAACTAAGCCTGCGCGAAGTGTTCCGTCAACAGTAAATTACGAAGAATATTGGTAGAGTAACTTTTGGTAATATTACACTGAACACAATCTTGTCTAAACAGCGTTTAAGAATTCAGTCCGTACCGCAAAGTAAACAACTCTTTACCATTATAAAGATCGAAAGGTTGGGGAAATAATCGATTATTGTTCGGGGAGAACCACATTCTGTGTCCAAAAGGCAGACGTAATGAATATTAATATACATAGGTGAAACACGTAAGTTATTATTCTTAACGCACAAAATTTTTTATTTTTAAAATAGCTTGTCAAATGTCTCCTTGCTGCAACGATGGATCGGTTCCTGAAAACTTATAATACCATCTTAAGCTAACAAAAAATTTCGACTAATTGTAATCCCTGTCGAGTCTAATTCTAAAAATTTATAATCCCGAAAACTAAGCTATAGAAAAGTTGATATAATTGCGTCATATTGTGAATTAAAATGTAATTATTCGTGTTTTTTCCGTCTAATCACAATTGTATATAAATAAAATCCAGTTCTC